GCAAACTCAAGCAATATCTCCCTTAGAGCATTTTAGGTCTCCTCAAGCCTCAAGCTGATCATGCCTGACAGCCTTACGCTTACGTGAACTCGTAACTGAGCTGCCTGCCTATTCATCCGATGGCTGTCGCTTTTAACACGACCAATTCAAGCCATACGAAATCAATCAAAGAAACCATCCACAACCAATGCACACACCACACTAATCGATACAACTGATCAACAATTAAACAGAAGCGTTCAAATTCCTCCTAACTGCAATACGAACCTGCCTGATCAAGCTGCTTGACCGAACCGCACGTCAACGCTCAACTGAACACTATTTATTTCAATCAACTCAACCCATCAAACAACTATCATATCCCGAAATCTTATGCTCTTCCAACACAAATAAATCCTCAAATTACTATCAAAACATAAAAACAACCACCAATAATAACAATCAACTAATCATCAATAGTGATCATCTAATCGATCAACTCCACTAATCAATAGTCAATGCTCGCCATAATAATAACAATACTCGTAATATCAATAATAACAACAATAAAGTACCAAACTATCGCCATCACCTTCCAGATAATACCTTCACAACGAAGTCTGATTCGTACAACGCAACCGTACTAGTACACATCACACAAGTACATTCACATCAACACACACAACTACTCATCACTATAAAGTTGATCAAACTATACAAAATATTCATAATAATATCACCTCAGTACAAGCACCAGTAGGTCTCTTCACACTAGCTAATGAATGCAATCAAGCAACAAACCACTCAAAATGTTCATAGCCAGGCAGGTAGCTATATGGTCATATAAAATTTCATTCCTCGTCATATGATCCTTTGGTGTGCTCTGCTTAAAGCAGTAACCATGTGAAAACAACGTATGGATGATGATGATGGATATAAGACGAGCAATATATAATCAGTTGGCAGCGCAGTGAAATGTGAATAAGAATGAAGGGCAAGGACAAACTTCACATGCACATTGCTCTGCTCAAATGAATGACGACGACAGTCCATATTAGATTCTTATTATTATTATTATTTCCTTGCTGCTAAGCAATTCATTCTTAAGCGACCATCACTACTGAATTTTTAATAACCACTACAATAATAACAACCACTGTAATAAAGATAATAAAGAAAAAGGAAATGAAGCGGAAGACCGGGGGGGGGGGGATGAAACACAACATTTTTGAGCTCTTTTAATTTTTTGAAAATAACGATTATAAGACAAAACAATAATAACCATTAATATAATATGTTCCAACGGATTAATACCAGAAAGAGAGCTGCAACAACCTGATTCAGACAAATCGAAGCGCTATTGCTCCGAAACGCATGCGATCAACTACACTATAAAAAACACCCCAATAAGATGACTCCAACGAACCAACGAGTCGAAACTAACCAAAAAAAAAATTTCAAGCAAACGACGACCAATAATGAGCACAATTAAGATCATCATTACAGTTACAATTGCAATCAAAACGATCACAACAATAATAATATATAATAATATACAATAATAATATATAACAATAATAATATATAATAATAACGTATAATAATAAGAATAATAATGACGAATAATTTAAGAAATGGATATAATCCGCAAACATACTCGCCTCGCGCATGCGCATATATAATAGTAGTTGCCTTGCCTTCCTTCTTAGTGGCTGCCTGCAATCGTATGAAACGTAAAACTCTCCGAGTGAATAGACACACGACGACGGCAATAACTCCTTTTGATGTGCATCATTCACTTGCTATATAATATCTAGCAGCCAGCCGCATTTACCTAAACACCTATACTCCTCTTACTAAAATTCATTTATTTCAAGGCTTGCTACTTATAAGGTTTGCTATTATCTGCTAATTTACTGCTCGTGCTCACTAAACTTTCAAATAAGCACATTGTATTTATTTACCTATGCATCCAACATTCCTATAGAGCTTATATTAAAAGTGAACAATAAAAAATATTGCAATTTACATTCGAAAAAATACATTCATTAATTTTTAATTAAGCACAAACATCAGTTAGGTGACGGCGGGTGCTTGTTGCAATTGTGACTGATGACAGGGTGGTCGCTCGCTTTTTCTGATCATTACAGACACATCTTATATAAATCACTTAAAAAACCTTATTCTGAATGTTTTTTTCAAGAAACTTCCTTTGCATACATTAATTACAAGGACGATGAAATAATTCGATAGGCAAATACTGAATCACTTATTGATAAAAACAATAGATGAGCAATAACAATTAATTAAGAATGCTCTGGCAGCCCGCCCTATACAACGAGGTTATTGAATTAAACAACCACTCAATTAATTAATTAGGCAATACACTATATACAAACGGATGTATGTATGCATGTACAGACCAAATTTGCTCTCACAATCAGTGGCTCGCTTCGCGATGCACCTTCTTGGGTGGGTTCGGGGGTGAAAGTTAGTTAGTTAGTTGGGCGATTGCTACTTAGCAAGCAGAGGTCAGCCGAATCTAATTAAATCATGCACATGAGAGGAACATGAGAAGATGACTGATTTCATAAGATGAAGGGAAGTGATCGCTCGCTCGCTCGATTCACCATCTTATTTAAAATGACTCTAAATAAAGGTAGTTGTTGTATGTGCCTCCTGCCAGTAATGTTGTACATAAACACTCCTTCCTAACAAGTAAAAAGAAACAGGTTCGCAAACAATCTCATAAATATACGTATACAAATTCTTATAGAATGCTACAATTTAGATGCACAGGTATATAATACTAGGTAGTAGTACATAAACAGAACAATAGATGGCTAGAGAGACGACGAGATGAGTAAATGAATGAATAAATGAAGTGACAAAACAGAAAACAGCATTCAACCTGCTGCTGCTGCATCGAAATAAGTGAAGAATTTGCATGTATAAAGGTGAATAATGCAGAGTTGACGAGATCAGATGCAAGATTTAACAAATGCTAGGTAGAGGCACGCACCGAGGATACATGCAGCACGCATGAATGCATGATCACTATGTATAAGACTTCTTACTTCATCTAGAATAATACCTAACAGCAGCAGCAGCAGCACAAACCAAAATTTCCTTACATTAGTTTTTTTCAGCTTATAAAAAACTTATGTATTGTACGATAATAATAATAATAATACACGTCTAGAGTGCTACTGAAAGGAAATACGATCTGACAAATGAAACGAGTCAAAAAATTCAGGTAGAATGAAACTTAGACATATTAATTGAAAAACTAATAATAGCTTCCTAATTAAACTGATCTCCTGCTGTCAGCTACAGCAAAATAGGCTACCGCAGAGAAGAATAATCACTCGCTTTAGAGAGTAAAGTAAGTTTAGAATACTATTACTAACGCTATGTTATCATTATTATTACAGTTATTAATAGTATTTAGATAATAATACTATTTCATGTGGTAGCGGTATTATCACCGATAATATTATGATAAGGAGGCATTCACTAAGGCTCTAGAGCAAGTGCTCATTTAACATCAATATTTTCTAAGTTATTACTCTATACTGGCTCAAGCTAAGCAGTCAAAATGAAGTTTCTTGACATAATATTACTATAACAATAACAACTAAGTCATAATTGTAATAGTAAAGCGATAACGGTAACAATAATAATAATGTTAACATCAACAATAATACCAAACTAATAATAATAATAATAAATTCAAGTGAAACGAGGTGGGTGGGGGTGGGTAACTGGGTGGTGAATGGTATGCATGGTATGTGAACAAATAATCATTTGCGCAACCAGCAGATGAGATTATCAAAGCGAACGAGATCACAAATAATGCTCGATTGCGGTGGCGTATAAGATGACGAGTATCGAACGAGAGATAGATCGTTAATGAAACTTATTATTTATTGAAACTGGTTATTTATTTGTCATTATTATCATTCGACTTTGATCGTCGTCAACAAATTTTATGATTATACTCACAAATACAGCATTCACTATTCAAATAATAATTGTAATGATAGTGCGCAATAAAACTACACGGATAGTATTGATCTGAACTGATCTGAACGAACGCGATGATCGATGTGATCGAGATCAATGCTTTTGCATTCGAACGAAGATATTATTCTTGTAATAACACTAAATTGCTTTCAACTTGAAGACGGCAAACAAATAAAGTCAACACAAACGCTACCTGCCTGCCTACCTGCTAGGTATTGAGCAGGAACGACCCCCCTACTGTGAATACGTAAATGAACACAAAACTCCTTTGCTGAATTCAACAAATTCAACCGCGTTCCAATCAATTTTTTCATCAAAATTTTAAATTTCTTCATCATATTTCAATCCGTAAGCAACAGCTAACAGCATCCTATCAGACTAATCGCTCAGATACTTCCATAGCGCACCAACCACCTATCTCACCTCTTTTTTGAAATTATTCTATCTCATTTTATTTTATAAATTCCTGCACAATTATGTTATTAACCGTGTTTATTCGCAGCATATTTATACACGCAGACTCGTTGCATAAGTCATTTCTAAAAAGGATAACTTGACGACGGTCTCTCTTATCAGCAAACTTATCAATCAGGTCACTCCTCTTCTAGGTCGCTCGCTCGCAATGGGATGTGGCACGTCCAAAAAGGTTACCTGCAATCCACTGCACACTGAACACACAAATCAAAACAACAACAACCTAACAAGCACTAAGCAAACCACCGACCATCTAACTGCCTTAAACAATCATACGGTAGTAGTAGTAGCTGAACACGATCGAATTAGCTCTTCTACTGCAGGTGACTTGCACTCGTCCAACAATGACTTGCGCCAAACAAATAGCGCGGATAATGAGGTAGGTATATTATTATCATTGATAGTATTATTACTATTACTCTTTTATCACTAATCCTTATCACCTTATCACTATTATCACCTTATCACTATTATGAACACTAGCAATATAAATGATAAAAATATGTGAAGTGAATGTTTAGTATCTTTGTGGAACGGATATCACTTTCGAATGGTTACACCGAAAACTTGTCGATGCTCTGAATGTGGATGAGCCGAAGCCGAACTGGATTGCAGAATGCATCGAAACGTTACCGTATAAAAGTGTTTACCGATCAATTTTTTAACATCAATATTAAAATAATTATCATATGAAAGTAAAATAAAGTAATATAAGTCTTAATTAAGAGATGCAACGATCAAAAGTGATCAGAGTAACACTGGGATGGGAGAACGTTGATCTGCCGAGAAGCGTTATCCTGAAAGTGGCGCTAAGGCAGATCACTTGTGATGACGAGGGTGGATATGTGGATGAAGAGACTAGCCGATATGTCAACAGCACCTTCAGAAGGTTGCTTGCATTCGCTTCTATTAATTACTGAACACTCGTTGAAAACAAGTGCACAACAACTCACTCACTCAAGCAACAATGAGTAAATTTGAAAGTCTACGCACTCACTGCTGTAGACGTAGACAAGAACAACTGTTTGATCACGTGTTTTGTTGATCAAAAAGTGATTTTTGATCAATAGTTCGATCAAATGTCTGATCGATCAAAAAAAAAGTGATTTTTCCAAACTTTTTTAACAAATCAATTGTGTCTGAAAAGCATGCATTCTTCTCTTGTCTCCACTCAGAACCCAACCCGACCCTGCTGTCTATCTTGAGACCCCCCTATCCGCAATTGCTTGCTGAATCTCATCCATCTATCATCAGCTCTCAGCTCTTGACCTAACACCCGTGTTCTCCCAACTAATTTCGCGGCTTTAACTCACCACCACCATAATATCAAGCACCACCACTAAGAGTGTTCATTTGCAGAGAATGTATCGTCTATGAATGGTTCAAGCAACACAAAAAATTGGCCGTACCCCGAACGTTGCATATCAGAGTAAGACATCCCATCCCATCCTCCCTCCGTCATCTCAATGAATCACTAAAGTGAACTATAAAACTTTCATCTTTTCGCACTATAATACATTCACAATTTCAAATTCATTTCAATTGTTTACTCCTTTCTTCTCATTTCATTGCTTCAAGAAGCATTCGACAGAAAGCACCTGTGGTGTGTTGCTAATGCAAGATCTATGCGAGAACACGCCTCAACGTGGCCAAATCATCCAAGCACTCACCTTGCAAACCACAAAAGACTTGCTCAAAAATTTGGCTATTATTCATGCTAAATCACTACTATCTGGTGAGCAGTTTCAGTTGCCAACCAATATAAGTCCACCATTAATTAATTAATTGTCTAGTTCTACAATAGCAGTTAAAAACTTAACTGAAGCTCACTCATCTCAAGCACACTTCTGGCTTGCTTGCTTGCACACCCCTAAATATCCATCAGTTCACTCAACAATTCACCAATCCATCAGCAAATCTTAAACTCACCAACCATTCAACCGAATACGCTTCGCTTCCAAACTATCGAGCATATTTTCAACTTTAACATCTTCAAATAATACTGTTTAGGTTCCAACCCAGAAATAATTCTTTTTTGAAAAATCATTTTGAATGTAAAAACTTTGCAATCAATTCAGTTGAACATGAATATGAATACTGTTGCAGGCGATTGGACAACAACGCTACCGGACACCTCACCGTTTTACTATCGCCATTTGACTGAGCATCGTGATGAGGCTGTAAAATACTTCTTGAAAAATTTCAGCGAAACCCAAAAAGAGGTGTAATTTGTTCACACTTCATTCATCCTATCCGACCGACACTCTACATTAATCCCCTGAATAGTAGTCCTACGTTTAGATTCTTAGATTTTTTATCATACTCACTAATATACTTATCATTATTATCAATAACTATTATTATTACTTTTAGTAGTGACTGCGATAGCATATACATATGTAAAGGCAATGGGTCATACAAATACGTCTCAGATGAGTTATTTTTATTTTCAGATTTTGTCCGAATATTTGACAGCCGACTATTTGGAGAATGTAATGAGTGGCAACTGGGAGGAAGAGTATGGTGTTGGACGCGTTCTGGTGCACGGACAGCCGACTGCTCTTAATCTCTTCATACAATCCGACGATAAGCTTTCGGCGATTGTTGACTGGAGTGGTCAGTTTTTTATCATTTCATTGTGTTCTTCAACTGCTCACTGGCTTAGTTCAATTCAATTCTTTTCAAAACAAACTTCTCGTCTCATTATTATTATTATTATTACTACTACACCCATCACAAACTAATAGCTATCATCATAACTAAACCTGCAATATATTAACAACAAGCAAAATATATTCCTTTTCTGATAAGATGATTTAGAGAAGTTTTTATAGAAGGATACATGCAGATGCAGGTGAAGTTTAAATTTATTTGCATCCATCGCGATTACTACTCAATAAGATTACTCTCTAAAAAACTGATAAAAGTGTTCTCTGGATGGCACGCATGCTACTGCAGCTACTACTGTAAGATTACTCTAGCTGGCTCACTGTGAGTAGCATATTCTATCAAGCAGAGGCTTGGATCACCTAAACCTTGCAGAGGCACATCCGGGTTGTTTTGGTGAAGATATTGCTGCGGCCATTTGCTGGAATTTAAGCCCAGTGGAACGTCATGCCAATCACGAACGTCTACTCGAATTCTATCATTACAATTTGATCAAACATAGTGCAGGTTCCTTTCTGCAGCTCTTACTTCTAAACATCATTCCAACAAACTATAAACCATTAGACTAATTAATTACTTCATTTAGCTACTGAAACTATAGCTTGTACACGTTCAAATTTGCTACCAAACAACATGCTCCATATGAAAATGCCAAGGCACACACTACCTATTATATAAAGCACTTGAAATGTAACACACACATTCCAATTCCAACTCTATAAGCAGCTATCAACATACAATATAATCTACACCACTATCAATGCACACAACTCAGATTATACTACAGCAAACCATCACGAGATATTCTTAAAAGAATTGCCTACCGTAACCAAGAGAATAAAACATTACTTCTGCTTATCTAAATAGTAATAGTATTATGAGTGTGATGCAAGCTATTATCAGTGTAATAGTTGATAAGCAGATAAAAATGCGATAAAAGTGCTCTTAATAAACTTCAACTATCTACAGGTGTGTTGAAAGAAGTGCGTTCCGAACAAGTGCACAGTGCCTACAGACATTTCATGCCGGTTGCATTTGCCACATTCCTTTTCTTAATTGTCAACTTCGATATTCATAATCACATCGATAATCATCATAATCACCATATGACTCCTCTCAGCAATTCTTCAACATCACCACCACTGTCGTCCAATAATAGCCACAACAAGAAGAAGTCACCTTCTGAAGTGATTCTGGAACGTGCTGAATCGATTGCGAATGATATTTTAAACGATTTCCACCAAAATCAACAACTATCAGGCAAATGAATGATGCCGAAGCAAAATTGAATAATATCGAGTTGATGTTTCATTTTCTTGCCGCAATAAATAAGGCTGCTGCTAATGAGATGACGACCATATGCCAAATCAAATGAGCACCACATCAGCAAGTGAAGAAGCTGCTGCTGCTGCCTTAAGCTATCTGTTCACATGAAACATCGAAATTTATTCATTTCACAAAGTCATCATTGATTATCACTCTTACTACTGTCAACCATTATTTTCATCCCGTCAAATTACTTCTTTCCTTTACCTACTTACTTACTTGTTTACTTACTCCTAAAAAGTATATTGTAATTATTCGTCTATAAAGTCAACGAATCAGTACACTCATCGCACTCATCGCGTTTCATTTCAATTAACTCTAGAAGGAAGAAGGTATCCAGGCGAGCAAGCATAAATCGATAGGCTTGAATTTCCTTTTTGGCTAACTACAAATTTTTTGCCGACTCATTCGTAGCCTTGCCATGCATCCAATATCTTTCATACTTTTATTCCTCAACTACCATCCTCACCTCCACTATTATTCTCATCCCGTCTCAACTGCACACTGCTTATCAATTTCACTTCACTTCAATTCGACCACCACCAAAATATTCATCTCATCGTTTTCCCATTATCATAATCATTTATTACAGTCATTTATTACAGTCGTCCCGACTACTAACCATTATCATTATCAGTTATCAGTTATGTTATCAGTTATCATTATCACAT